GAGAAGCGGAGAATAATTGAGAAGCGGAGAATAATTGAGAAGCGGAGAATAATTGAGAAGCGGAGAATAATTGAGAAGCGGAGAATAATTGAGAAACGGAGAATATTTGGAGGAGTGGAAGCGGAAAGGCGGAGACACAGAAGCGAAAAAGACAAAAAAATAAGGATCAGAACGCGGCTTATTTAACCAATAACAAATTGATCGCTCCAGCTTATTAATTGGTCAATGCTGCTTTAAAACATCAGCTACTAGCTTCGTAGCTGGTCCCTACGGTTTGTTCGTAGTGGAAACTCAGAACCTCTCATAAGAGAGGTTGCGGGTTCAAAACACACAGAAGTTAAGTGTTCTTATTATAGATCCAGTTGCCGGCGCAACACGCAGTAGGGAAACTGCAATATATTTTTGCTCTTCATTTTATCAAGCGTAGCAGGCAAACTTTTTTTTTTTTTAAAAAAAAAAAACCAAAAGCATGTAAATATTCCGTGCTTTTCCATTTTTTGTGTAGGAAATAACCAGTCATAAATCTGACGCCAGTCAAAATTACCGCAGGCTACAACACAAGTAATTCCACCAATGGTTCTTGCGTCATTGCTCCCAATAACTATGATCAAAAGCTTCTCAGACTTTCTTCAAAATGTACTGTTGCTTTTCACCATGTTTATAAACAACTCTTACATTTTGTTAAAGAAATGGGCAAATGCAAATGTAAAATGCAAAAATGTCTTGCGATATTCTACAAACTCTATAGTAAAAACATATTATTTATTTGTTCTGCGTTCTGCTTTCGTATAATAATTACATTATGTTTATATATGTCCCATTGTTAACGAATTTAAATTGGGTGTGGTTTAGCTGATACGTGCCCCACTGGCGCAATCGGACAGCGCGTATGACTTCTACCCTCAACAGGGTAGTTATCATAAGGTTGCGGGTTCGACTCCCGCGTGGGGTTATACTTTTGAGGGATGAGTGTTCTTTAATTTTTAAAATGCTAAGAAATTTTTTTGGGCAAAATTTTTTATAATTAATGGCAAATGTCTTATTAATGTGTATCGTTACTTCAATTCAATTCTTTTTAATATAGCTTGATCGCGTCACTCCTTCGGCGCCCGGCTGGCGCAACTGGATAGCGGGTTCAAGCCCCGCGTCGGGTTTTTTTTTTGTTTTTGCCAACAGTGTATCGGAGTTTCAATAGTATTTTGGAACGGTGCGAATCTAGTACAATGTAATATTTCTCATTTGAAATTGGCCAACAAGCATGTGTAATAGAAGTGTGCAAACTTGGTTGTGCTTTTTATATGGTTGAATTGGTTGTGGAGAGGAGAGGAGAGGAGAGGAGAGTACAGAACATGGTTGTGAAAACCAAAGTGTAAGCAGTTGTTTTAACAATAAAAAAGCTATTGCTAATGCATTATTCTCTTGTGTATAGCCATGTTCTTTAAAAATTAAGCTACAAGTTCAGTGTCCACAGTGGGATCAAATCAGTCTAGGCTATTTAGCAAGCTGCTCAGTCTACTTGCTGTCCCTGCATCAGGTTTTTTGCAGAGCTAATAGCTTGTAGGATCTGAATATGAATAAACAATCTTACACAACTGTTGCTTGGTTTTATATACAGCTATTGCCATACCACAGATGCAGCAATTTACAATTGGCATTTTATTATGCCTTGCTTTTGTAATAAGCCAAGCAACTAAGTAGAGTGTATTCCCTTAGCATGCAACATTTAGGCTTTGTGTCTTGATAGAGTCTTGTCATATACAGGTCTTTGATATATCTAAGGTGGAATTTTATCTACTGACTTTTGTTTGTCTATTTCTGTAAAGATTGATGTACCAAACCAAGCCAATATGCCAAACTCTAAATGGCTTGTCATATTCTAGTTTGGTCTTTCCTGTACTAGTTCAGTAATTATATTGATTCTATCACCACAAGTACAACTCTTAGAGCCTGTGCCCCTCATTCTGTGTAGAGTGGCATCTGCATTACCTAGAGCATTGACACATTTCTTACATAATTTATCAGAAGCTGGTAATAGCACTGCATTCAAATATTCTAAGCTTACTTAAAAATCACCAACAAGTTGTTTGTTACTGACTTTTTGGCTCATAATTCATATTAAATATAAAATAATTCAATACCCAATGGACATTGCTTGTTTGCAAACTATTATTTCATCTGTCTGTAACTAATATATTTTTACTATGTGCAATTTCTAATTTTCTGTGATTTTAAATTATTGCCTGTTGGTATCTAAAATTATGTACATTTGAATAATTGAAGAAAAACTGTTCTTGACATAAAATGGGAAAAGAGAAAAAACTGATATTGTCAGGCATTGCTGATATCCAGAATGCAGCCACTAGTTGTGTGCTAACTTGAAATACTTAGTTGACTGCTTATATGAGCTTGCAGAACCCAAGGCAGTCTGCTCAGCAGGCCGTTTGCCTTTGGCTTCAGCTTTGCCTTTGCCTTTGCCTTTAGCGACAGATGATGGGCCAATCTTGGTCACATTTTTAGCAAGATCAATTCCAGTACAGTTCATCCTGTGCTTTTTGTTAAACTCTTTGGGAATTTTATTTTTGGGATCCCCTTCCAGCAATTTGTTGAATATGGCCATCATGTTCAAGGTAGCCAGCAGGTCTCGATTTATAGTCTAATATCTGTAGTGAATATGCTCATGGCCATCTTTCAGTTTATCAACACCCAGTTTTATTCTCTCCAGCTCCTTCATTTCATCTGTGCACGGTTTGCTGATGCAACACAAAATACCAAGAGCATGTTTTAGCTGGTCCGAATTCTTAGGATTGGGATATTATATCAAATGCTGCAGAGTCCTCAT